GATTCATATATTTTAAATTGAACCGATTCATATATTTTAAATTGAACAGATTCAGTAAAGTCTGAACGTTTCTGTAAATCTTCTCAGGTCATGAAACATTTGAAGAACATCAAGCTGAGACTGAAGTGATGGATTTTGATTGATGATGACACTTTGTGTTCAGTCCTTTCTTTTGTAACGTTTAGGAGGTTTAAAACGGTGGCTCAGTGAGACAAGCTGACGTCTGGGAGTTGGATCATGTGTCCTGTTGAGTTACGTTTGCATTAAAGTCTTTGATGTGTTTGTTATGTTTTTGTTACCAGATGGAAATGAATAATCAGGGTCTAAGTCTGGTAAAATATTGTTTTTCTGACATTATAAATTTTCTTGTGGTTTAAAGAAATAAAAATAAGTTCTGTTTTAAAATATGCTTTTATTAGTTTATAAAATATATTTAGGACTTCAGAGCTGCTGAAGGGATGGATTCACTCCTGATCATTACAAAAGATGTATTTCTTGTATGAGTTTGATAATGTACATTTTATTATTGTCACTAAATGAAACACATTTAGCACTTTTAAATCTGCAGCTTTGACATTAGTTTTGAGCTTGAGCACAAAAAAATGTGTTGATGTGTTAATAAACATGATTACATGTAATTTTAGCGTTTATTATTTTTTTAAAGCAACAAACATTGTACACAATTACACAAACAGAGGTGTATTTATTTATTCAATTATCTTATTTATTCATGTATGATTTTGTATTTATTATTTATTTATGTACATGAACATATTTATTAAATGTATTTATTTTTTTACTTAAGTTTTATTAATTTATTTATATAAACATGTTTATGTATTTGTTTATTTGTTTGTGCATTTATTTATACAATCATATTTATTTTTATTAAGTTATTTATTTGTTATTCATTTATTTTGTTTCTAGATATAATAATATTTAGTCAAATGAATAAATCTTGTAGGAATCATGAGTTCAGAGTGAGAGGAGGCTGCGAACATTCAAATGTTGAGTTGAGAGGCCTTTTCTTTCTGCCTCAGCTCTGAACCTGTGAGTCTACTGCCCCCATGTCCAAAAACACAAACTGTGTGTGCGCGCGCGCGTTGAAGTGTGACATCATGAGTTCTGCCTTAAAAAAAGTTCCATATTAACTTAAATAAACCAACACTGGTGGTGCGCAGAGTCCACACCTCGCTCTATAATTTGCATAAATTCTCTCCAAACTTTTTTTTTCAAACCACAGAAATCCTTCCCAGACCCAAACACGAACAAACTGCTGTTTTTCCTCCTAATCTCACCCCCTCATTCTAGATTTGCAACACGCCCTGCAGACATGGCGGCTGCAGCCATGTTTAATGTATAAAGCAGCAGAAAGAAAAACGCACATGATAAATATGCATGTATTCAATTAAGGGTATTACAGAGGAGGTGATTTGCATGAGGATTTAGGAGCTTAACATCATATTTGTGCTATAAAGCTTCACAATAGCCTAAACGCAAGATGTTCCGGTGCGGGGGGGGGGGGGGGGGGGGGGGGGGGGGGGGGGGGGGGGTAGTCTTGTTATAATTTTTTAAAGAATGAAAAAGGTGCAGAAATGAAAGAAGTGGGTGTTGCAGCTCCTCGTGACTCCTCCTTGGACTCATCTGACTCCCCAGCGACAGAAACAGCCGCGGAGCGTCGGAGGACACATCAAACCTCTCCTCCGTCCTCCTCTGACGGAGCTCCACCCTCCACCCTCCACCCTCCACACACGCATACCCAAATTCTCCAATTAAGAGCAGAGAGCTAATTAGTGCGCGTGGGTCTGGGATGAGCTCTGACTCGGCTGCTGGAACCAAAGCCGCTGCGCGCCGTCCGACTATGTGTGCGCGCGTGTTTGTGTGTGCGCGCAGTGTGCGTGTTGGAGGGGTGTGAAATCAGATAAGAGATATGTTTCAGGACAGAAAAAAAAGAAAAGCTCATGATGACATGTTTCTGTAATGAAAGACAGAAACAGTTTTAAAATCATACAGACTCAGAGCTGCGCGCGCGCGCGCACTCTGAAGTCTCCAAACTAAAAACAAATTATGTTACAAATTACTTTTAACTCTAATTCAGACAAAAACAACAAAAAAATCTTCCTCCTGAGCTTATTTCTTTATTTTCTCACAAACGGAATCAATCATGCTCTGATGTCACTTGTGAAACTTTCAATGTTCTAA